CACCCGCACACCCGCACAAGCGCAAACGAGCACGCGCACGCGCAACGCGCAACGCGCACGCGCAACGCGGCACGCGCAACGGCCGCACGCCCACCCCACGCCCCCGCCCCCGCCCACGCCCACGCCCACGCTCACGCACACGCACACGCACACGCACACGCACACGCACACGCACTTGCACACGCACACCAACACAAACACAAACACAAACACAAAGACAAAGACAAACACAAACACACACCCACACACATACACACCCACGCACACACCCACGCACACACCCACGCACACACCCACGCACGCACGCACGCACGCAGGCACGCACGCACGCACGCACGCCCACGCACGCACGCACACGCACGCACACACACACACACACTTAAACTCCAAATGGAGGGTTCTCATCTTTCGAGTACAACTGATGAGTCTCGAGTACAACTGATGAGTCTCGAGTTCAACTGATAAGTCTCGAGTATGGTGAGTTTCGGCTCGCAAGACGCTTGGTTTCCGCGGGCAAAGAGGGGACCTTGTTGGGGGGAGTCCTCTGCCTCCCACGACGCGCCCCAAGAGCGACTCGATGCAGGTACATAGCTGAGCGTCCCCACCAGTGACCTAGCTTCGTTGGATCAGGTCAGTCACTGGAAGCCTGATCCCCCTGCATGAGAAATTGTGGTGGCAGGGTATTCTGCCACTCCGCACACACACGTTTCTCAGTGAGGGGCGACAATCCTCTTTTTTCAAACGGAAGATCACTCGCTCAACTCCTTAACGTCTACCAAAATATCCACAGCGGCGGGGCGAACGAGAAACTGCACGTTGCCGCTCAGAAGACGGGGACGAAGGATCTCCAAGTTGAGCAAGACGTGTGCCGCCATAGAAGACAGGCGGAAGATGCAAAGATGACGAATGTGCACCGTCAGACATAGGCGGGGCGTAGGTGAACATTTCCTCGGCCTGGATGATGCCCGTATTTGTGCGTCAGCAAGTGGGGGATCCGGAGCATGATGAGTGGAGAAAGACTCATAGCGGGACAATATCCGTTGATAACCTTGATGTTGCCAGTCACGAATTGTCCATGCTTGATCTGATTTGTCTGGATCGGATACCCGTTTCCACTCTCGGAACGAGTTGTCTGGCAGGTCAGGTACTGCCTCTTCTGGGCGCCACATCTGAGCTTGTCCCGGAGTGTAGATCCGCACCCACTCCTGACCTTGCCAGACGGAATATTCGAGCCATGGGTGCTGCTGGTCGATCTGAGTCAACGTCCGAGTTGCATAATCTGTGTCCATGTCGAAGTGAAAGACAGGGCGTACCACAGGTTCCGATCCAGCTGGAAGGAAAACAGTCACCATGCACAACCATGCCCAACCATGCGCAACCAACATGCAAACATGAAAGCAAGAGCATGTGACAGCACCCTTTTGTTCCACGACCAAAACGCATTAATCTAATCCGCACCTAGCTCGAAGATAGGCTTCTCCTTGTTGGTAGAGCTGCATGGTTGGGTTGCATCAAAGCAAGCTTTCCAAGAAGCACGTCAATCCGAGGACATCCGACGAGACCTTGCTCAAAATCTCCGAATGAGTTCAAAGCCTCTTCAGGTGAAGGACAAGGTATTTTACTGGCAGGAAGACAAATCCAAGATTCGTTCCAATGGAAGCAAGGGAGGAATATGGCTAAAAGGAAAAGTCTTTTCCATTGAAGGAGCAATGGTAGGACTTGATCTTGGGACTCGACTCATCAAGGTTAACATGACGAAGCTCAGGAAGGATGAGACTATCCCTGGGGAGATTTCCATTTCTGTGCATACGGACTAAAAGATCCTGAATCCGGGCTCAGAAGTCTCAAGCCCACGAGCTTGATGCACTGTTTACCTTCCGAGGTTATGAGACCGATCTTTAGAAGGTGTAAAAACTTTTCCAGCTCAGTAAAGCATGAACACCAACCCCTAGAGGGAAACGCTGGTTCCTTCGGAAGCAGAACCAAACTGGCACAGGTGTATCCTTACCAGTTCTGTCAAGATCTTGCGCACATCATCTTACGACACTTGCAGGTGAAACCGCTTGTGTACCTCTTGGAGGACCTTTTTGAACTTCACCATCAAGCAGGTTGATATCCTGAGAAAGGAGATGGAAGCCATTGACAAGGAGTTCAACATGACCAGCAGCAGTCTTGCAGTCAGAATCCAAGACCTGCCGTTCAACAAGGACGTTCAACCATTAGTCATTCAAGATCCGCTAGTTCAGAAGTTCCAGAAGACGATCAGTACCCACCTGGGACTGAAATTGATATCTTCAAGCAAGATCCTAATGACTGGCGATGTCAGAACATGTGGAACGGCTGCAAGAAGTTGAGACAACTGTGCATCTCATCCACTCAGTATGATGCATGCGCTGCATACGTCCACACCATTGGCATCAATATATGCCTATTACGTCAGCTCCGGACGATGCAATCATATCCTTCTGGCAGCCTGATCAGCTGAATAGAATTTGGGTCTTGCCTGCATCAAAATGCAATTGGGAGAAGTATGATCCGAAGACGTGGCACGCTGTGATGTTTTCATCCGTTCATGAGTCGTTCATCGATGCGCCGGCCATCAAGCCGATGCCCATCGAGACGGATCCGTTGGATCCCACGGATGCACCTCAGCAACCTGACACACAGCAACCACCTGATCAACCGGACCATCCCATGCCTGATCCAAGACCTCCAACACCTCCGGACGAGAGCATGTCAGATCCTCCTCCGGATCCTCCACATCAGCCTGGTCATCCCATGCCGCCAGCACCACGCAGTGTGTTGCCAGACAGTCCAGTGGATCCTCCACTGCCGCCACATGACAAGCCTGGCGGAGGAGACGCAGCGCTGAAATGGCAAAAATAATCCATTTCATCCTCAAGATGTCTCTTTGCCGTCACAGTCGCAATCATCTCAGCCAATTCTTCCGACTGTCGTGGTACCTTCACCACCTGCGATTCTTTCAAATCCCGAAGCAGAGGAACAAGATGAAGATCTTGAACTGCCGACACTTGTGCAAGAAGAAACAACCGGCAGTCCGTCAAAGAAGCAGAAGACTGGGAAGAAGACGAAGAAGCCAGATGACAATGATGAGTCACCTGAGCATTCTCCCAGACATGATCCTGCATCTTCATCCAATTATAATCCGAACAATCCAGCGAATTTGCCGGTTCAATATGAAAGTGAGGAAGAGCTGATTCCTCATGTTCCAACCTCATCCGGCACTGGAAGTTCAGAAAGAACCATGAGATACACTGACCAGGAAGATGGAGATTCAGAAGACTCTCAGAGGACCAGATCCTACGATGATCACCAAGCTGATCTCGTTCTAGATGAAGCGCACTGGTCACTCATGACAGCCGAACAGAAGATCTGTGCGAATACCGGATCCTTTACGGTTCCGAGAGATATCGAAGGCAACCCTGTCCCACTTGGACGTGTGAAAGGGACCTTCAGTCCATCGCCCCGATGCGGATTCTCTCATCAGAAATACACAGATCAGAATCATGTTGACCAGCTATGCAAGAACATGACCGACGATGACCGTGCACTCCTAGTTCTGTATTCATCCAAGCAAGAATCCTTGAAGGCTTCATCCACATCCGCACTCATTGGCAAGAAGCGGAAGGAAGCTACAGCCACGGAAATCAGAGCTTATCAGAAGCAATTCCTTGAAGCTAAGCAGCTTGAGTGCAAATCATGGCTTGACAATGAAGTGTTCGACTTAGTCGACACACGCAAGATTCAGGTCAGGAACTGGGTCACCGGTCGATGGGTCCTAACCCTGAAGCGAGACAAGGATGGTAACTTCTTGAAGACCAAGGCTCGCTGGGTCCTCCGAGGCTTCCAAGACAAGCAGAAGAATGATCAGCAGACAGACAGTCCTGCTGCATCCAGGAGTGGTTTCCGCCTTGCAATCCAAGCAGCCTCAAATAAAGGCTGGAATATATTCCACATGGATTTGAAGACAGCATTTCTCCAAGGCGAAGCATATGACCAGTCTCGTGACATCATTTGTCAGATACCTCCTGAAATGGGATATCCACCACACATTGGAGCGCGCATGAAGAAGCCTGCATACGGGCTGAATGACGCACCACGTCGATGGTGGAACATCCTTGATTCGGCACTCCGTTCGTACGGACTAGTGCCAACCCGGGCAGACCGTTGTACATACGTGTACTACGGCAAGCAGCTTCCGAAGCCCGCATTGGTGAGTGAAAAGAAATCATCCACAACTTTCGATCTAGAAGGAGCAGTTGATTACCTAATGGATCCTGT